TGGAGGGGACCATTTCCTTGCTCCCCAAGGCACGCTCCAAGCCTTTGGTCCCTACTCACCACAAACCACCTCAAGCAAGGGCTGCTGGCTGCTGCCAGCTAGCCCAGCCAGTAGCCTCGCATCCCCAGCCAGGCAATGCGTGCTGGGGCTGGGCGATGCTTGTGCTGCTGCTGCGTGCCAGTGCTAGGCGCTGCTAGCTGCTGGCGCTAGCTTGCTATGCTTGGTGCTGCCATGCAAAGGCACGCACGCAAGCACACAGCTACGCGAAGGCTCGGTGCTGCATTGCGAGGCTGCTGGGCGATGGTGCACACGCACACGCACACACGCATGCGCCTAGCACTGCGATGGTGCTGTGCGTGGTGCTAGGGTGCTGCGATAGTTCCCACGCACATGCACACACATGGGTGCTATGCTTGGTGCGATAGGACTGCGATGGTGCCTAGGCATCATGTTAGGGCTGCGATAGCGCCTAGGCACTCATGCCTCGCCTAGCACACCATGGTGCGCCTAGCACACACATGGTGCGCCTAGGCTCTCGATGAGCTAGCCTAGCCTAGCTACGGCCACGCTCATACTTGTCGCTTGTGATTTTGCGACGCTCGATCTCGACGCCCTAGGCTCGATATCCGACGTCGGTATTCGTAAAACTCTGTCGACTCATTAAATCTTTCGGATTAATTCGTCGTCTCGGATCGGTTGTTCGATTAGGTTCGACCCGAAGGGTTCAGTTAAGATTAAACTGTAATATTAATTGTACCTTAATATTACTGATTGGAAGCGGCCTCCACCTAGGCATTCCGATCACTTGACCTTAATGAAGAATTAGCTCTGTAATAATTCTGAACCCTCTATCAGAATAATACACTTGTTGGAAGGACACCATTCCTTTCAGCCTTGCGTCATGAGATATACCTTCTGAGAATGTCGAGGGCTTACAACAAAAGAGTACACAAACGGCCCCTCAAAGTGGGGGACTTTGTGTTACGAAAAATGGAGGCAACCGGTAGGGCAAATGAGCAAGGAAAGCTAACCCTAATTAGGAGGGCCCCTACCGGATTTTTAAAGAAGTTAAGGGCGGCACCTACCACTTTGAAATATCAGACGGCAGGCAGCTAGCCAGAACCTGGAATGTAGATAACTTGAAAAAGTACTACTTCTAAGGACTTGTAAATTTTTTGTAAATAGAATATATTAATGAAAAAATGCTTTATTTCCATTTTATTTTGTAAAAGTCCCGTCTGTGTAATGCACAATCGAGCAACCGTCTGCTCTAAACTGAGTAGTAGGCTAAGTATCGAATTTAGCTATTCATAAGGCCAATGGCCGAACATATTTTAAAACCGCCTGCTCCAAAATGAGCAGGCATCCGACGACGCTCATTTGGGTGAATTCGTCGAAGAGAACATCTCCTATTCGGGTGGTACATTGTTCTACAGATCATAACTTAAACGACTTTAACCGACAATCTAGGTTAAAGACAACTCATGGCCGTTCGAATGATCAATCGAAATCTAGATACAACTGGTCGTTGCTTCAAGGCAACACAGACGGAAGTTTAAATCTTGGTCGAATGTATCCGGCTCTTGCCAAAAAGCAATACAACCGGCTACAAACTCAAAATAAGCAATGTCAAAACCTTAGCATTTAATGCGCAACTTGGTTATGATGCATACGTCCGGCCAAAGGCCGCATGCATACCAACCAACGGCACTGTTGGACACCCAAAGGGTGATCCGCAGCCGGTTAAAAGAATAATCTAGGTTGGCCTTAGCCGGCACCGCCAACTAATTCAACTTGAGTGATTCTATTTAATAATAAAAAAAAAGGTCAATGACCGCCTACCTATTCGTCCGGGTGCTTGTATAGACGGTTGTCTGCTTAGAGTTGGATTAACTATAAGCAAACAACCGTCCAGGGGCAGGCAGAGCCAATGCATCCGGCGTACCGCATGTATCGATTCAAATCGTAAAAAAGAAAGATTTGTACGAGGCAAAAATTGCGAAAAATTGAAGCAAATAATATTAAGACAAAACCGACTCAGTCGGCAAATATATTAAAAGTTAGATTGTCAACTAGACCTATGTCCAGGGAAAGATACATCTAGCTAAAAACACGGATCGCAGGCCAGATGAAGAAAGCAGAAAATAAGTTAAGCTACTGCTACTGCTATTGCTGTTGCTGTGACGGCTGGCCCTGGCCGGCAGAAGGAGCTTCTCCCGTTTGCTAGGCTTGGGCTTCGTCAGCCCCACCTGGCATCTGGTCGTCCGCCTGCTCCTCTTCTTCCTCTGGAATGCCGACCCACTCTTCAAAGGGCGCCAACGTCTCAGTCCCGAGAACCTGAGCATCGAACACCTCAGTGGCGTATCGGTATCGCAGGTCAAAGAAGGCATAGTCGGTGTCCGGATGGATCATGGACCAGGCCATCTTCATGCGCTTTTCGCAGTCGCGCTCGTTCTCGGTGACCAGCCGGTTTTGTTCAGCCGCCAGCTTGTCCTTGTGCTCCGCCTAGGTCTGGGCCAACTCATTTTTCAGCCGGTTGACCTCAGGCCGCAGCTCGGTGTTCTCCTTGTCAGCATCCCCCAAGGCTTTGACGTCAACCTGGAGTTTTTTTACTTGGAGTTCAAAGTCGGCTGCTTTTTTGTTGGCTGTATCAACAGCAACTGTGAGCTCCTTGATCAGCTTCTCCTGTTTCATCTCCCGGCTTTTAGTTCGGATTTCATACATTAGGGAGTTATATTGCGTAACATCAATGAGTTCGGTTGCCCTTCTCTGGGCATCCCTTACCTCCTCTTGCTTTTTCCTCAAGGGAACCTTGAGGCCATCTATTCTGATCATTGTCTACAAGAACAGCCGAAAAAGGGTTAGATCATTCAAATGATGAGCAACCGGTAAAAAGATGAAAATTCATTGCATAGCCCAACCGGTGGCAAGCCAGATTGGCTCTCAATGCCATAACCGGCGAAATTACCTCAGCAAGAAGGGCAGTAAGGCGGTCAAGGTTGACCTGGTGCAAAGCTGGCACGCCTCCTTCTCGGACTGGGTTAGGGTCCGCAGCATTCTCTTGGCGTAACTCTGGAGATCCGGCCAACAAGAAGAGGCATCTGCATCAATAGATTTATCGGTTAAGTACTGAGAAAATGCGGCACCTATATTCTGCCGGCTGCCTGAAGAGTCCCCTGATTGGGTAGCTTGGGACTTGACTCGCATAGGCCCAAGCGGCCAGGGGGGATCAAAGGTGAGAGCAGTACCTTGATTTTCAGGCTAAGGGGTCACACCACCCCCATCCGCATTGGAACCAGATGCTACAACAAGCACCCGGCTTGAGGGAAACTCGGGCTCCCCAGTTCTGGCCTTAACCGACCCTGAGCTCAAGACCAGATCTTTCAGGCTTTTGCCTGCTGAGGTAGGCCTCTCAAGAGCCGGCGGTCTTCCGGCAGAGGCAGGGGCAGCCGGAACCCTTCGGCTTTTAGAAGCAGGATGGGAGGGCTCCCCTCCCGGTCTTTTCACCATTTGCTTGATGGAATGAAGAACATTCTTGCTCCCCGTCTGCAGAAGAAAACAACACAACCAGTTAGTATCAAAATGAGCTACAAATAATACAGACGGTAAAGAGATCAGTGGGCGCCTCCCCATCATCTTTGGCCGCCAGCTAGGCCCTTTTCTTCTCCAGCTGATCCTTTCGGATCTCAGCGGCAGACTTAGCCGGATTTTTTCAGGAGGTACCATCTCTAGTCCTTTCTCTACAAAGAAGAAGAATAAAAATCAGAACTCATTCAAGCATCATACAGACGGCATAAAGTGCTGGTTAACAATCAACATACGTTTGCTCAGAATGTGCTAAGGCACAGGTGGAAAGGAACGCCTCGTCCTTAAGCCAATCCGGATGAGGGACCCAGTATTTGGGGACAATGATTTCTGTCCCATCATCCAGAGGCAAGGTGGTCTTTTTTAAAAGACCCGTCTCCATAATTTGGTTCGAAGCCCTCTCTGGTATATTAGGAAGGGCACACTTTTTTCCAGGAGAGCCGAGTGTTTGTTGTAGCGACGCAGCCGGTGGTTAACAGACGGAGAAGGGGAAGAGCCATGTAAAATTTTCTCTTCCAGCTGCTCCACTTAGACGGCTTTTCCAGCGTCATCATATATTCCGGATGCGTGGTCAATGTATACCACGCATTCCAGCCGCCTGGGGCACGGCTGAGGTAATGCATATGTGCAAACGCCTTCCAGCTAGGCGTTATGTCCTGCATCTCGCAGGCAGCGATGTATCCAAGTATGTTCACCCATGAGTTGGGTGTTAGCTGCCAGACGCCAAGGTCATAACCCCTTAGAATGGCCTTTATTGTGTTATGGAGGGGGAACCGGGGCCCGGCTTTGAATGCCGCCTCATAGCAGCCGAAGTAATCATTGGCATGATCCAAGTCGTCATCCCAGATGATGGTTGCCTCTACAGGCGGCACGACAATCTCCCATCCTTCCCCAACCGGGCGCTTTTCCAAAAATGCCAGAAGGGTGGCGTTTAAAGTTACTACGTCCCGGGCGCTCATATGCGCCTCTGTTTTATTGTTTATAGAGGGCCATTTATATGCCTCCTCATCCTCTTGAGGGGCATCCGGCTCCATGGTTGACTCAGTGAAGTCTGATTGTTGGACGGTCTCTTCGCCGTCTGAGCTCCCGGATTCACTACTACATTTTTTATCTATTGCAACCCCCAAATCCGTTGCATTAGGCGTCAAAATCCGTGGCATTAGGCCTAATGCAACGGCCATGTACCGTGGCATCTGCTGACGTTGTAGTAGGTCTAATGCAACGGCATATGACACCTAATGCCACGACTCCCCTGATCCGTGGCAATAGACCAATACCTATTGCAACGGCATAACTTATCCGTGGCAATAGAGTACTGACTAATAATTATGATAAAATTGAACCTATTGCAACGGATGAAGCTAATTAATACAATGATAGGAGTACGTATCTACTGCAACAGATTGATCATTGGGTTTTTTTTTTTTTTTTTTTTTTTTTGTTGGGATGGAATGGTAATATAATATTAATTAGTCGGTACAAATCTAAATATACTAACATAAACAAATTAAAGTATCATTTATATATAATAATTATAATGCAAAATACGTACATTACAAAATATTACTTGCCTATTTTTGGTATGACATACCCTAGTAATAATAAATAAAAGTTAGATAATTAATTTGATCGTCCAAAATACAAATTGTCAACATATATATAAGCGGAAATATCCAAATCTTCACAAAGCCGGAACTTAAATAAGAGTCGCCAACATATATGCCCCATTTGTTAGATGGCTAGTCACTATACTTCCGCTCCATTTGACTCCCCATGCACCTACACTACGTAAAATTGAAAAAAATAAAAGAAATATAATTAAACTAAAAGAAATATAATTATAGTATATCACAGTACCTCAACCCTTTGGTTTGCAGATTTTAACACAATCAAGGAGGACAGTTAAAAACCAAGCTATACAAGTTATGTAAGGCACACATAATCAATATAACAATAACGATAAAAGAGATGCATAATCACCAGCCGGTGGGAGGAAGCAATAAGCAAAGATTTACTGAGCTTGCATGTTGTGAGAAAATTGCAAAATTTATTCCATTCTCCACTTCTGAAGCTCCCAAAGGAAATGCTTGGCCTGACAGGATTTTGAACGATTTGCTTGTATCCATCATGGTCATTGCTTCTTCCTTTTACAGAAAAATAATAGGCATGACAACACATTAAGAGATCAGTATAGATGAGCTACTTTAGATGAATTTCATGAATAAAGCAACAAAAAGATTTCTTCAACATAGAAAAAAACGGAGAACTCATTGAAAGACAGAGAATTCCATGATATAGACTGCTGATATTCTTATCAATCCATGAATACATGTGTGACGTGTTTACTATGACATGAGCCTTACTCACAAAGTCACAATAAAAGAAAGACTGTAACTATTAGGATACCCTAGCCAACTTATCTTACGATGATAAGTACAAATAATTGGAGAAAAGAAAGACTGTACACAACTAACACTTAGGGTTTGCTCATTTCACTAGGAAAAGGGTTCTGGTCTAATTTATTTAGTTCTGGACTCTAAATCTTTCTTCTGATTTGGTTGGCCTAAACTCTATATGATATAACTTTGACTCTTTACATTAGTTTATAGTTAGAAAGAACATCATGTGGGTTCTTGGCCTTCTTGCTAGATTCATCTTAATGTAAATGTTCCATCTAATTTTCATAATATTTACTACTCCCTCTGTCTCCAAATAAAAGTCTCATATGCCTTTTGCACAAGTTTTTACAAGGAGGATAGAAAAAATAAGATAATGTGGTTTGGTTGATTACAAGAGAATATAAAAAACAATATAGTAATTGAATATAATAATAATATAGTGGGCCAAGTGGGATTCGGATGATTACAAGTGAATAAAGTAATAGATAAAAGTGTAATCAGAGTATCAGACTTTCATTTAAGGACAAGTTTTGTGCAAAAAAATGAGACTTTTATTTGGGGACAACGGATGTAATAGAAAATTAAAGATACTTGGTAATATAAAAAACACAGAAACTAAAGATCAAGCATTGTCTGATTTGATCTGATTCAACAAAAATAAGTAACAAGCCTCTCAAACACTTACTCCGCATGAACTCCATAGAAATTATTTAGTTAAAAGGACCAAGCATGAACTGTTAATACTTTATAAAGCTCAGCTATGTCATAAAGATGCCCCTCACTAGCAATATTAACAAACTCATAGATGATCTGGGATTTAGCAAGCAATAAGGAACTATGAAATTAAAATAATATTTTGAGTTTTCAATTGCATTATTTGGAGAAGAAAAAGCCTTCTTCGTGGATCTACAAGTCTACATGAACAGGACATAATCTTTTTGTGACAAACAAATGATGAGTGTGGGGGAAATAAAAAGGGTAGCGATGGGCTCTGGAATATTAAACACTCTTAACAAATCATAAAAGTTATAGATATAAGATACCTCTATGGAAAACAGGTCAAGTTCTTGGCCAAGACGTCAGTGATCCCGCCGTAGAGCTTCTGCTTTGAAATGAAGGTAAGCTTTCAGATGTTCTTCATTTTCCCATGCTGTGCCATAAATCCTTTGTTGCACTGGCCTGTTTACATCTCCTCTCCAGTAAGCACCAGCAACAGATTCAAGTTCAATGGCTCTCCTATTAATACTTCCAGTAGTATCAACTCAAAATCGAAAAATCATTGTATTAATTATTTAGCAAGGCATCTCAATTACTTAAATTACACAACTTAAAATCGGAAAACGATAGAATATTTTGAAAAATCATGATTGCTCAATTTTGACTTATGCAATTCCATTATCAGCTTTAATTTGCACTATAACAAGTATAACTAATTTTGGCTAGCCCAAATGAAATCCCAATGAACAACTCTTGTTGGTAACTTTATAAGGGCTACAGGTCTCAGCAGATGTAAATCATGCAGAAGCAGTGGCATTAGAAATTTATTAAAAAGAATAGCATTTACTCCTTTTAATTGTTGTAGATATTGTCTTGTTTATCCCCCCCCCCCCACCCCCACCACTCCCAATATTCAAATCATCAGACCAATATTAAATTACAAGAAAAACATTAAAATCATAAAAATGAAGAGAAAAAAACATACCAGATCCATGACAAACTCCATAAGATTCAAAAGCAGGAGTAGCATCATAAATTGAACCCTTATACTCGGTTCCCTAACAATAATAAACTTAAACTTTTATTCAACTAGCACATCTTCTTCATTGCTAATGCATAAATTCAAAACCATCACCAACATACCTAACCTTTTCTCTCATAACTCTGCACATACTCTTTCCACCCACCTTGAACTCATACCCGTCGAGCAACTTGTATAGCAACTAGCAAGCATGGCCTCTAAGACATCAACAATGGATATGTCTACACCAATTAGCTAAGAATGTCCCTTAACTCATATTTCCTGTTTGTTATTAATATCAAGAACCTATATTAAACTACCATAGTGCAGACTAATGTATCCGAAAACATTCATTCATGAAAAATAAAAACTTTTATCAGCAACATGTCGGCAAACTTTAAATGATGCCTAATTTAAAATAGAAAGTTGGATATAGCCCAGAGTAGACAGCTGTGAAGGGCCAACTTCAAGAAGACGAACACTTAACACTCAGATCCACAAATAATTCCTACTTCCTATTATCCTACTAAACCAAACCATTGGATCAGAGTTGACAATAATTTTTTGGGTGTGCTGCAGATTAATCAATAATAACATAATAACTTTACAATCTTAACTCCTAAGACCTAAGCTATGGTTACACAAATAGACATAATAAGGAATAATTTGAAATTGTGGAGATCCATCTAGTCTGCTTAAATATTGCTAAATTAGAAACCAATCTCAATGACAATTAGTTATCAACAATACACCAGGATTAAGTCAGCTAACAATTTAAATATATATAAACATGTAGCAGACATGAAAAGCAATTACAGTAATCAATCTCAAGCAATATACATTATTCAAGATAAACATAAAAGGCTACACACAAAAAATTCAATGTGGCTACATATACCTCTTCAGAGGAACAAGACTTTCCACTATCATTTGCGCCTCGATTGAATCTGGCATATCAACAAAGGTGTGAGAAATTTAAAAATCCTAATTACATAAATTGAGGGACGAATGGAAATTTAGGACCCTAATTACATAATTAAGATGAATACAAATTAAAGGAACTGGCTTACATTCTTGCCTGATGAGCATTCCCGTTTACCAAGGCATGAGCGAAGACGTTCGTCGTTGCCTGAGCACTGCCGTTCGTCGTAGCCTAAGCATCCCCCGCCATGTCCTGCCTTCCAATTGAAATTAAGTTCATTTGTGTAAATTGGAGAAGCAATTGCGTGGGAATAATTCTATGAAGTATCAATTTATGAAGCCTGCATTCAATTAATTTACCCACACTTTATAAATTATGAGAATTGGGGAAAATGGAGAATTGAAGCAAATATGAGAATTGGGAAAATGGAGAAAACGTGTACTATGATAAAATGGGTACTGTGAGAAATGAGAATGAGTACTGTGAGAATGCATTGTGAATAGAGGGAAGTAAACACTTCAAAAATTTGGTGAAAAAAATAGAGAGAAGAAATGCGCGCTTCACTCTAAATTTTTTCATGATATAACACATACCGTTGCAATAGGTCTCATTTTTGCTAAAATAGCTAGGCTATTGCAACGGTTCTTTATAGCCGTGGCAATAGCTCTACCTCTAAGAATATTAGTGTTAAATCCGTGGCAATAGCTTACTTTATTTCAACGGTAATTAAAATACCGTGGCAATAGCCTACTCTATTGCAACGGCAATTAAAATACCATTACATTAGCCTTTATTAGGCCGTTGCATTTGGTCAAAAATGTAGTAGTGATTCCTCCAAGATCTCATTAGCACGCCCGGCTGATCATAAGGTACATCATCAACCGGAGCTTCGGCTGAGTCATCTGACTGATATTCGGGGTCTACAGCCGTCCATCTAGTCCGAGCCATTCTGTCCAGCACATGAACAGAGACGGTCGGATTTGTAAAAAAGTAAGGGTGGTCCAAACACCCCCAGATGGCATCCCTAGTCCTAGATTCAGCCGTGTCTGGTGACCGGTTGACAACTGCCCTAGGTCATGCCGTGTGTGTGTTTGGTGAGTCCATTATTCTCTAACAACCAATACAACCGGAAAAAACTCAAAAAAGTTGCAAGGGGCAGAGACGGTACCTTGAAGTTGTAAAAAACTCTGAAGCAAGTTGACTTCTCAAAGTCAGCAGCCGGAAATCTGATCTGTTGCTTGGTGATACCCCAGACGGTAGCCCGGATGTACCCTCTTCAAAGAACAATTGAAATTCTGAAGCTACCCAACCGTTTCTCTACAATGTGGCTTGAAGATACCCCAGACGGTAGTGACCGGCTATAGGTGTATTGAGAGCTAGGGAAAATAAACGGGTGGTCAGGCGGTTTTGAAGGAAATGGCTTGAAGATGCCCAGACGATAATTATTGGGTGTGGGCATATTGAAAGTAAGAGAAGAAACTTGACTAAGGTCAGGTGGTGTCTGGGAACTTTGAGCAAGGAATACTCAGACGAAAATCGGATGAGGAAAAGATGGAAGTTTTTTGGCAAAAAGGAGTAGCCGGTATCAGAGCGTTCTCTCAGAAATTCTCTCACAATAAAATTTGCAAAGTGTGAAAATGAGAGGAGGAAGGTTTCTATTTATAGAAGGAGGCAGAAGGCGAACCGTTGCCTCCCATTCAACTTCAAATTCAAATTCGAAATTCGAATTCAAAAAAAAAAAGGAGGGAAGGAGACGAACCGTCACCTTCCCAGAATGTGACACCTGTCACAGGTGCCACGTGGCAAGCCACGTCACACCTTTGAGGGGCAAATGTTTAGGGTAAAATTACCCTATGCCACGTGGCCCAATAGCATGCTGACATGTGTCAACCTCAGAGAGGCCCAAAAGGATCCAATCCTCTGCTGACACGTGGCACCTTATTCTTAAAAGGGAAATTGATCCCCTTCCACTATAAATAGAGGAAATTCCTCATTTATTACACATTCATAAATACAAACACAAAAGACCGAGCAATATTAATTGCAGAATTCTCTCTGAATAAGAGAGAAAATCCTTTACTTTCCGCACATTTATACATCCGGAAACATTCTAACTTGATCATCGGAGGCGGAACTCCACCCGACCGGAGTTTCGTGGTTTTGCAAGTACAGACGGTCGACGCGCATTCCCGGAATTGTAACTCTCCCAAAGGACTCCAAAAACCCTGAAACAACTTTGATTGCTTTTGCTTGCAACTATAAAACAATAAACGCGTTAGTAACTTCAAGGAAAATAATAAATATAATGGAAATTAAGTTAAATGAAAGTAGAGTTGATTTGGTCCAAACCTTCAAACAATTTTACCTTTCATGCCTTGGTTTAAGTATAAAACTTTAGGTAAAGTATGGACTCTATGGAGTGCTTTGAGGAGGAATGGTGAAATTACGAGGGCTAGGTTTAATATTAGAATATGAGAGAGAAATTGTATGTGTGTTGGTGCCCAAAACTCGTAATGAGCTTCGTATTTATAAACAAAAAAATGAGAAATGAGGTACGGAACCCTAGAAATGAGGCGCCAAGGTACCGCAACACAACATGAGTATCATGTCACGGTACATGTGTCGTGGCGCAGCACTTATCGTGGCACTTGTACCGTACAACGGTGCCAAATTTTATCAATATCAAAGTGGGAAAACGCATTAAAAGATGAAAACTGGAAACTTCTGTTTTAAATCATTTTTATCTGATTTTTCATAAAGCACGTGACAATTAGGCGTCGTTTATGTCATTCCGGACTCATTTTAGGTTTAGGGTTTTGTGATTTTACCACTTGGGCTCAATTAGTAATTAAGAAAATGGATTGAAAATGATTTGGGCTTAAAAATGGGGTTTTGACAAGGGTTTTATGGATGTTTGGGCTAAATGTGGACTGGTTTATGAAAATGAGTTGGACTAAGTATGGATTTTAAGCACTCCAAATATTAATTAGTCAACCCGACCAATAATGGCGGTGAAAGGTTGTTCATCATCGGGTTTGATTTTGAAAAGATATTTTTAGGTGTCTACACTTTTTTAGTCTCTCCTCTTCTTTGTTGCTTTACTTCATTACTTCTCTTTTATTAATCATTGATGCTTAGTGTAAGGGGTTATCCAATCGTGGGGGATCCCATTGCCTAAAGGCCCTTTATAAGCCAAGGACTTTGCACTTTTAACTGCATTAGGATTTGAATTCCTTATAATTTGGAGGACATCGTTATGAGAGGAACCAATCATTTTTTTTGTACTAAATAGAGAGTCGCCAATGACCTTTTAGGAAGAACCTCATAAACCCTGTTTGTACTTTTCTCCCAAGTAGAGTGCAAGGGATGTTTTGTATAAAGCACAAGTTTTCACTTAAATCCTTTATTAGGGTTGCCCAAGCAATGGTCTTTTCGAACCAAAGTTGGATTTGGGAGCGAGGGTACTACGAAGTTGTTCTTTATGAAGCAAGAAATAATTCTAGCCCTAAAATGGAATCTACTAGCACTTCTTATTCAAAATTTCACTAATAAAAAAATATATGCAACGTGATACCTAAATATAAGTTAGTTCATTTTATTTATAGGCGTATATCACAAAATTTTACATTATAGCAAATGTCGTTATTCTAGATTATTCAAAGTTTGTGAAAAAGAACAATAAAATAAATACGATTAGCTAGACCTCTTAGGTTATCGAACAACAATTAAATTCATATTCTAATATTTACTTAACATAAGAATACCTTGTAAAATAATTAATTAGCTAGTTTTTAATTTAAGTGACAAGACCACACTAATTAATCAATTTAAGGTTATTTAAACAAAAAAGAAAAAGTTATTTAACTAAATTGCTCGGGAAAACTAACCACTTCTCCTTGATAGACCTTTGCTTGGACTTCTTATATATGGACCTCCTCTTGTGCTGGAACCTCCAACGCCTTATGATTTTCGACTTTGGGTTACAATGTTTGGGACAAAAAGCCTAAAAGTCTCAATATTACTCTAAGATATTCAAGCTAATGCATAAATTTGCGGTTTTTCCTCAGTCATTAAGGTCTTAATCGAACTTTATTTATAGGCTAATGATGATTAGGTTTAGGGTTAATTAACTATTGTAATAGACTGGGGCACATACGTCCCTAAAAGTCACACGAGATGTTGTGCGCAACATTAGACATTGTGTGCGCTAGGGTTACACGAGATAAAAAAAAAATTGCACGGGACACTATGGGAAGATTCTAATCTCAATATTTGAGAAATACAAGATATTCGCGTAACGTAAAATGTTACGCGCAACATGCTATACGCGCGACTCTGAGAGTTACGAGCAGAATACTCGACAACGGGTGGTAACATAACCTAATTTCCATGATTCCGTCACTAATCTAGTCCTAATATCTTTTCGTTTTTAGATACATATTGGGCCTATTTTAAAGAGCAGACTTGGTTTCGCAAATTAGCTGCATAATTGTGTAGCTTAGTTGACTGCAACACTAATCAAATGCAGCATTATATTAACAAAGCACATGCTACGTTTTTCTTCCTTCTTTCTTAATGTTCTTCCTGTAAGTTTCTTCTTTTCTTTCTCTAAGTTTTTTCTTTCCTTTTTTATGATTCTTTCTTCACTTTCATTTTCTCTCTCCTCTTTCTTCTCTTTCATTCGATATTTTCTCTCTCCTCTGTTTTCAACATCATTATGGATTTGGTTGTTATTATATTCCTGAAGAGATCAGTAATGCAGGTTGGTTTTTGTGCTTGTTAATTTTTTATTAGGTTAGGTTTTGGTTGAATTTGTATTTGATTTTCTGACTTTATAATTTAATGAATTTCAATTTCAGGAATTTGATGACTTTCAATTGACTTTTTTTTTTTTTTTTTTTTTGTTTTTCTTTATGAATTTACTATCTCAATTGAATTTTTGAATTTGTTATGAATATTGATTCAATTGATGTGTTGCTGATATTTGCGGTGAATATGATGAATTTCGATTAACAATATGAATTTGTGAATTATTGAATTGTTGCATCTGTTATGAATTTGTTTGTTATTATGATTTTATTTATTTATTTATTGAGTTGTAATTTGTGTATAATTTTTGGGAAAAAAATGAACATGTAGTACTTTAAAATAGAACACTTATTAGTACAAAATGAACATTTAGTAGTACACTAAAAATGAACATTTAGTACATAAAAAATGAACAAATTTTAACGATTTATTTTATCTTTATTTTCCATTAATAAATATATACATTGAATTTGAACCTATATGAATATATGAAAATCGTGTTCATTTTTGATATTAAATGTTTAAGTTTTTTACGTACTAGCTTAGGTCCCGTGCCATGCACAGTAAGTCCAATTTTTTTAAAAAAAAGTAATTAAATTTAACAAATAAAATTTGATAAAACTTATCCATTAAATATATAGAAATTATGTTGTCATAATCTATATTAAAAGACAAAGAAAAAAATTACTACTTCCTTTATTTCTTTTTAGTTGAAACGTTTCATTAGTCACGTTTTGCCAATGCACAAATTCAATCATTAATATCTTTAATTACCGATAAACAAAAATTATAAAAACTTGATATTTTGAAAATATACATTGTGATGAATCTAACAAGATCTCACTTGACTATATTTTTCTTCACATATAAATCGCAAAACATGGTCAAAGGGAGGTGTATGAATAATGCTAAAGGCAGAACGTGTCAACTAATAAGAAATGGAGGTAGTATATAATATCATGTTTTAGATTAAAAAAAAAATATATTACAAGAGTTACTCAGTCAGTATTATAAAAGGTTACTTTATTCTTTTACAAGTGCCGTCATATGGTGCGGCCAGCCGCACACAAAACACGCTGAAAGATTTAAGTGATGTTAGTTTTAAAGTAATTTC